ATCACTTAGCCGATGCCGTTTATGCTGATGCCTTGCAGCTGCCCTGTGTAAACACGTGCAAGCTTTCGGAGCACGGAAAGCCACGTGCACAGGGGGGCCTCTTCGGAAGCTGAGGATGTTAGTAGGTGGAGTCCTGTTCACAGCCCAGACGCGTGTGTGGGACTGTCCTTGCCCTGACTCCCTCGGGGCCTTTCATTTTCTGGGCAAACCTTCATCTCCCAGGACGACCGACGGGAAGCGCCCAGGGCGCCTGAACTCCAGCGGCTGGAGGCCCTGGGTGTGCGGCTGGCGGGGTTGGCGAGGCTTCGGGTCTCCAGTAAAAGTGGGGTTGGGGTGAAGGTCGCCCTCCAGCGATTCCCACCGAAAGGAGGCGCTCCCCTGGGAGACAACCAAGGTCAGATAGTAAGACGACGCTCACCCCAGCCGAAGCGTGGCTGGTGAAGGTCCGCCTGCCCCAGGCACGCAGGCAGCACTGTGGTCCCTGAGCTGTGCCAGCAGGGCCGAGGGCCAGGCATGGCCGGGCTCGCAGGGAGAGGTGTGTCGGTTTCCGGTGAAACGCGGTGCTCCTGGCGGGAACAGCTCCACGCAGAGGGTTCACACAAACACAGGTGCCGCGTGTCCGTTCTGCCTCTGCTCCTTTTATATGATCAGGAGAAATGTCACTTCGTTATAGAGACGTTATCTCTCCCTAAAAGCTTCTGCAGATTCCATGAAGGATTCATAATTGTGAGCTTTAAAGTTAGCTTTTATTCTTGTATTTGTAATAACACTTTCATGATACTATGTTATTGATTATTAATGATTGACATCCAAATGTTTTGATGTTATGGTGGAAGGGGCTAATTTTGTTAAAATTAAGTTCATTTTAAATGATCATAATTCATTTTTATGTCATTGCAAATAAACAAGGCAGTGGAATGTCCGAAATGTATAACTATTTAAATGTCACTTTTATGCTTATTTTCTATCTATAAAAATTTAGCTTTTCCCCCCTTTAAATAATTTGGGAAACCAAGAACAAACCTACCTGTCTTGGTTCAACAGAAATAAACTCTGTGGCACCAAATGTGAAAATTCATTCCCTCCTATCCCTCCACCACCTACGTACAGACCTGGTTTCTGAGCCCCCTCCGGGCTCTCTCTTCTGTGTCAGTAGAAGAGGCGTCCTTCCCCCCGCACCCCAGGCCCCTCTTAGTAACTTTATATCCCAGCCTCCTCTCCTCCTTGGTATCCTTACCAATTATTTCCCGGTCTTGACATTTTCTCCACCATTTCTATATTCCTATTTCTAGTGGTCCTTTTGTCTTAGTATTTAAACACTGGAAACTCTCAACATAAAACCAAAACAAATAAAACAACCCCCCCTCTTCCTCCCTCCCTCCCTCTATCCCTTTCTGCCTCCTGCTCACTCACACTCAAAACCATCTTTCAACCAGATGCCTTGCCCACTGGGGTCCTCTCTTTCCCCTTCGCTGTGAAACTTGCTGGAAGCCACCTCTGCGGGGACTTCACTGCGTCCGTCGTCCACCCTCCTTTCACAGAAACTGCTCCTGCCAAGGTCCCCGAGCCCCACAGACGACCAGGTCCGGTCCCACCGTAGTCTCGTCTTCCTGGATCTGACGTCCCCGGCACTCTGGCTCCTTACTGCTTGGATTTCTTGGCGCCGGTGTGGGCATTGTTTTACCTAGCTGGCTGTCCCTCCTCACCTGTGCCTGGGGTGGGACTTCTGGAGCCGTCTCTGCTTGCGCCCTGCACATCTCCTTGGGCCATGACCTCCGGTACTTCCTGAGGCTGATGCTGACGAGCTGGTCTCTGAGGTCTTGCCCAGAGGACAGGTGCATCTGATGCCTCTGTAAGGCTCTGTGCAGTCCTCTTCCCTCAGGCCTGCATGTCCCTCTCCCGCCCGGCCCTGCCCGCCCCGCCTGCCTGGCACAGAGGCACGCGGCTGTCCCTGTGCCTCCTTGGCCTTCCTTTCATTGGTTGGTTTTAGCCCCAAGCACTGTCTGCCCCTGGGCCCTCCCTCTTGGCCAACTGCCTCGTCCCTCTGTCCCTCTGGGGTCCGCCTGCCCAGGCCCGGTGCTTCCCGAAGGCCCCTCTAGTACCCAACCCTCCACCTCGCAGGTCCCCGCCCGCTTCTCATTGAGGTGCTGTAGTACCAGGTCCTTAGGGATTATTAAAAGTCTCTCCTCATATTGGTTTAAATGACCTATTTGTGTGTTTCTCTCACTAAATTTTGTGAGCGTCTGGAGGCCAGTGACTGCATCTTTCTTTATCCGTGGGGCCCTGGTGTAATGATAACCGCTTGCATGTTAGAGGGAGAAAGAGCTTATCGTTTCACTCACAGACGAAAAGCCTCTGGTTTGTTTTCGAAGACATTAAAGTGCATTTCAAGTATACCTTGTGCTTCGGGAAGCACCATTCGGAGTACTGAAAACCTTAATTATCAGAATATCAGCTTCTAGGTCCCCCACGTTGCTTTAGTGCAGCGACGGTCTCCCAGCGGCCTGAGGGACTTACTGGCCCTGAAGGGCCCAGATTACGCACAGGCAGTGGTTCTCCCACTAATAGGACCTGCTCCATCAGCTCATTAATCTTACAGACAGTCCGGGAGCGGCGAGGGAGCAAACGGTGTTATCGTCTCGTAACAGCTGTCCACACATATGTTGTGTCTTGACATTGTATAGTTTCAGCATTATTTTCTCTTTATTTTAATAAAAAATGAAATGGAGAACGTTTGGCTGTTTACTACTATTTCTGTGTACCACCATTAAATATCTGTAAGTAAAAGATTTGACCTTGGCAGTGATCGTGTAATAGGCCTGTGTTTTATGATGGAGTTCGCTTTTGAGTGGGTGAGGCGGTCGAGTGGGTATAGATATTGGTGGGGGAGGTTAACTAACCAGAAGGTAATCATGAAATACTGTTTGTAAGGTTTTGATATTATTACTAAAATCAGAAGTAAATAGCTTTTTGGTAAGGTCAGAGTTCTACCCTCATTTTTTCTTTTCTTTAGTAATTGAGGTCTCATTTACATATAAGAAAATGCACAGATTTTAAGTGTGTTTTTCAGTGAAATTTGACAAGTGCCGTCCTAGTTAACATACCGAATGTGCTCACGACCTCAGTAAGTTCTTTCTTGCCCTCCTTCCCATCGCCACCCCCTCCAGTGCGCCAGTGTTCTAATTCATCATCTCAGCTTAGTTTTACCTGGCTAGAGCTTCATGCAA